AAGATTCAACGCCTGGACTGAAGTGAAAGCAGTGAATAGAAATAAAACAGAGGAAAGCATTATGAATGGGAAATGTTGAGTCAGCGGGATGTGGATTCCACAAGAAAAAAATGTCGCGCGTGCACATTCGGATGCACCAACGCAGTCTTGAAATATAAAAAAAATTAAAGCCATTTTAAGGAATCTGCTCTTCGCGTTCTTCCCTATGCTTCACTACCTTGTGTCTTCTCCAAGCCTTCTCATCAGTTTTCTCAAATCTGCAACACCAGATCTCCAACACTTTAAATTAGAAACACAGTAGAGTTGAACCCTTTGACGCGTTGCAGCTGATTTCCAGAGCATGTTCAATTTCACCAACCTTTCAACTCTTCTGCTATGGAGTGTGTCGGCCCCATCTGCAAAGGCTATCGTCTTCCAACTTTCTGCTGAGATGAGCACACAGGAATGGAAGGTCAGTTGAAATTTGACGAAGATTCAACAATGACGCAAACATGGTGGAATCGCAAAGGGAGGTGGTGCCATGGGTTTGGTTTTTTTTTGGAAGTTAGAAGATGTCTCTCAATCAGAATTTGCATCCTTCGTGAAATCTGCACTTTTCTTCGCGGTCTTCGGTACTTCACCACATTGTAGATCTGAACCCTAGGCCGCTTTACTTGTTTGCGATAACGTGGCTCCAATTGCAAGGCATTGCTGAAAATTATGGGAGGTTTTCGGCACAGCGTGATAAGGTAAGTGGCAACTCTGCTCGTCCAATTCAATATCCTGGAAGCCCCAGTTGAGGTCAATCAAACTGAGAACATTGGCATGAGTCTGACCAGAAGGTCTTAGAGTGGTAGTCAATCACTTATCTTGGTTTGAGTACCAAGTGGCAGACCCAGCGACAATCTGGCGACGGTGTTACGATCTTCGCAGCCACAAGATCATTTATTTAACTCTCTTCGAAAAGCGGATACAAGTCTTGCAACTTGATCTCCATTTGAACTGTAATGTATTGGCCAGCAGCGAGTATTCCCTTAGTATGACTTTTGCTAGCTCTCGTTCTGATTCTGTGGTGGTGTCCAGCTCCTTGCAGCCAATAAGGATAATTCTTGGTCGGTGCGTCGTTGATAGCTGCCCATGATTTTTGTGTGTGAAAACGAATTCATGAGTGCTTCACTTCAAGCAGGACAAAAGAGTGACGTGTTTGTGTCCAAGCGAATGCGTGTTGGTTAATGTCATGAAAGCACATCCGCATAACACAATGAACCATGCATATTTAGATTCTGTGCAGTTTTCTGCGTATTGGGCGTGAGAACATCTTGCATGCTTGAATACACGCAAGAGATGCTAAGCTTTTGCCACCAATTACTTTAGTACACGTAAACTCAGAGGTCTACCCGTCGTTTCACACTCAAGACGGACAAGGTTGGCGAGTTGAGAGCGTTCGGGATTGTGCGTCTACAGGACTTATCTATTCTAGATGTTAAATAGTCGTAGAGGGTGCAAGTCGCAATGGTTAGATTGTAGGGTGGGTGTATTCATCATTCAACTTCCAAAAACTCGATACTCAGGGAGGGAAGCAAATTTCAGGGTTGCTTCAAATCAAAGGTCTTCCACGCCAATACCTCGTAAACCACTTCGTATCAAACTTTCCTCGCCTTTTTTCACTCCCTTCTGTGGAGCATTCATTCAAGAGATAGGTCACGAACGCTTCCTCTGACTCGATGGTCAACCATTGCCGCATTAGCTACGGCCAAAATCGCACAAGAGCGGCAATCAGTTTGATCAGCTTTGCCCTAGTGCTACTCCAGTGCCGTCCTTAGAGGCTATGAACAATCTCCAAACTTGCGGAGTGAACGGATTATAAGATTTCCCGGACTTAAGGGGTGGGGGTCCTTGCTTTCGCCCGAAAATCGGGGCAATGATACTTGCGGAAGACATCTTGAACCGACCACATAAGGTTTGCGGTAAAAACTGCTTTCCACCACACCCCACTCCATTATCCAGGAAACTCCTTTTTCAGGGAAGGATCCAGGAACCTTTTGTTATCCTAGCAACTGGTGTGTACTCGAGGGCACTGGATTAATCACCCTTCCTTCCTCCGATCTTTTACCTTATGAGATAAAAGCCGGGTGACTATGTGTAGAAGATGTAAACAAAAGGGTTGTGATTCTTGGAGTATGGTCCCTGGTCAAACAACAACGCACGGCCAATTATATTCACTTGTTCAACCACTAAACCATCAATCCCTTATAGAGACCACACCCAACCAAAGAACCTCGAGTAACGATTCTCAGAAATCCAGAACGCCGCAATGTTACACAACCCCACCTGAAATGCCTTCAGCAATAACCCCAGAGCCATCATGTACTCCTTCTCAGTCAATGTCTTTGGCCAACTCTGGGGGATCAGGATAAATTGTGAGCAGGTATAAGCCTCGTGGTGTTTTTTTTTGTTCTTGCGCGTCGGTTGTTCCCGAGTTGGTTTCCGTAGGTTTCATTTTTTATTGGGTGCCAGGGAAAGTGTCTCATTTTTGTAAAAATTTCCCTTGAATATGCGTGCAAGTTTCTCATTTTTACTCGGAAAAGTGCCGAGTGAGAAATCCCAAACAGTGACCATTTTTTTGGCCTTTCAAATCTGCAAATCTATTTATGTCTGGCGATGTTTACTTTGTTTTCTCCTGACTGAGAGGTCCCGATTTGTTGAGAAGTTGGGGTTGAGAGGTTCTGGTTTGTTAAGAGGTTGTGGTTTGTTGAGAGGTTGTGGTTTGTTGAGAGGTTGTGGTTGGTGCAAAGTGTCGCTGTGTGGGGCATCTGGCTTGTTTCCAAAAATTTTCTTCGAACTGTTCAATGAATGCGTCATTTTGTTTTTAGGAAAAGCAGTTGGCTACACCGAGTGCCTCCGACTCCAACAGAACTATTCAGCGATGAGAATGGTCTGTCATCGTTGATGAGGCTTTGACTCAATCGAATGTAGATTCCCATGTGGTGTCCCAAACAGAACTCTCATCATCATCACCATAAGACACAGGAGCTTCTTGGAGCACAGGGGGAGGAGCCTGACGTGGGGGAGGCGGACGGGGGGGTGCAGCAATAGGACGACTGGGAGGTGCAGCAATAGGACGACTGGGAGGTGCAGCAATAGGACGACTGGGAGGTGCAGCAATAGGACGACTGGGAGGTGCAGCAATAGGACGACTGGGAGGTGCAGCAATAGCACGACTGGGAGATGCAGCGAGGGCAGGGCGTGAGCTAATAGCACCAGGAGGGGGAGCAATTGCATGTTGAAAAGCAACAGCTGCCATGGGAGCCCGCGTTGCTACTCTGTGGCATCGAACCCTCTGGCCGAATGATTTCAACGCCCTTCCTTGATTCGCAAGGTCGATAAATACGATGAAATCTGAAACGTATCGATTCGTGGATTTCTTATCTAGTTTGAAATGCAGAGTTTGGGTTTTGATGGTTCCCTTCAGACTTCCCTTTCCCACACTATGGTAACACTGAAATTCATCGATCTGGAAATTGGGAAGTGATTTTCCGGGGCTCAATAGAATTTCTGTGTCTCCAACAAGAAGAAGTTCCCCTTTTTTGCCGCGTTGAAGCCTTATGGACTCGTCGATTCCATATCCTGCCAGTCCAAGATCAGAGAATGGATCATGTTTTGGAAATTTCTTCGGACAGAAAATTGTTACGACAGGCTTCTTGAAATGTGCGAAGAGCTCAAGAGCATAAAATCTTTCGATAATGTGTCCCTCATCTGTGGTGATGCTGCGATACTTTCCAACTCTTCTGTTGAAGCTCTTGATCCCTATTTTGGAGTCGGTAGATGGAATAGTCTTTGCAGCCTCAAGACTAACAAGGCCGACGCACTCCAAAGCAGAAGGACTGAAAGGCCGGTGAAATGGAAGGAGGTTCAAAATTTGACGAAGGTTCGACGCCTCTGCTGGAATAAAAGCAGTCAGTAAAAATAGAACAGACGCAAAGATCATGGTGGTGTCGTTTTTAGAACAAATTGCAAAAACTAAAGCGGAGGGAAGTGGTGAATGGTGTGTTTGGCTCTTATGAATAAAATGTGGAAGCCACAAGAAAACCGTCACCTCTCAGCACTCCCGCTTCTCTTTTGCCATGCTTATCTGGGTTCTGTTGTGGGCTGCTTTTATTTTAACGCAAACACTGAATCTCCGCCAACTTTTCGCTGATCTTCCCTTTCATCAACCTTTCAGCCCTTCCTCACCGGAGTGTGTTGGTTTCGTCAGTTCAGAAGCTGCAGCAGCTTCCGTCAGTTCGGAGGTGCCAATCACAAGGTACAGAAGACGCGGCCCAAAAGTTCTACACATTGATACCCTCCATCGAAAACATGTTCCCGTAGAGTTTTATCAACTTAAGCTTTACTCAACATTCACAAAGCCTGCAGTGAGGGTTTTCTGCCCAAAATCAAAGCCGAGGGAAAACCCGTTTGCTGGTCTCTCCCAAAAAAAAGGGAAAGATGATACGCTCAAGCTTGAACTCGGGGACAGAGCGGAACTCCTTCTTGTTGGGGACAGAAAAATTGCATTGAGCCCAGGATTATTGCTCAAATTTGATGTCGATGAGCTCCAATGTTCTCAATCTCTAAAGCAAGGGGAAGTGAATGGAACTCTTAACACTCAATCTTTACGTTTAAAGATAAACAGTTCACCAAGTGCTCACTACGTTCCAGATTTCATCCGTTTCACTGACGTTTCGAATCACGGAGCGGCACTCAACGCCATGGGATATGGGGTTCACTGCACTTCTCTCAAACCGCTTCCACTCCCCCCCTTGTAATCTGCTTTCGCGAAAACCGATTCTAAGAGGTCTTTGAACACAAGAAAAAAGACGAAGGACGCTCCGAGATTTTTTTACTTTAGGAATCCGCGAGAACCCCAACACAATCGTCTACCCTTGAGATTAAGAAAATTAATTGTTTGCTAGAACACAGGAATAACAAAACAAAAGAGATAGAAACGAAAAAGGGAAAAAAGAATGATCATTGCTGGCGAGTTACTCATCACCAGAAGTCTTGTGTTTCTTTTTCTTTTTCTCTGCAAGCGAACAACACTCGAGTGACCAACCGAAGGCTCTAGATACCGTCTTACCTGTTCCGTCCTCATCATCTCTCTTTCTTTTTTCTTTCTTCTTCTTAGAAGGCATTTCAGTGACGTCCTCCTTCTCATCAACTTCCTCCTTGACTTCCTGCACTTTCACTTCGACAGGTTGTGATCCTGTTAATGTTGGCAGAAATCCCTCAGACTGCAGTAAAGAACCATTAGGACAGAAGAACAGCAAATCCCCCCAACCTGCAGCCAACTCTTCGGAGTTTTCTCATTTGGCTTTCCCTTCTTGTCCAGAAGGCCAGCCTACAGTGACGACATCATAAGTGACAGTCCCAATACCTATAAGATTTACTATTTGATCTAAAATCAACCTCACCACAATCATTTTCTTCTTCTCTGACGCACGAGGTCCGTATCCCCATCTTAAGTTGTAGGTATCACGCTCCATAACAACTCGTTTGATAATAGCAACGATTCCATGATCAACAGACGCAATCACGGCGGTCGTCATTTGGGCTATTCCTAATGCTATCGCCTCTCCTTTTGTTGTCATCATGACAATTTCTTTTCCATTTTCAATTCCATTGTCAAACCGAAGAACACCAGGAATCATCAACTTCGCTCCATAAGTGATCGCATTCACACAGCTATCTTTGACCTGATGAACACCGACTCAAGCATAACACTTTTCGAATGAAACTTACAACAATCCGAGGGTAGGTCGTCAGCAGAAGCTCTAGAGGGAAAATCGTTCTCCTTAAATAAGTTTCATCCCCCATATGATCAAACATGTATTGGGCATCCAGAACATCGTGCATTGAAACCAAACAATCCCTTTCAGTTAAAATTCCACTACGAACCCGACGAAGTTCTTGCATGTGTGCTCCAGTTCCAAGGAGTAAACCGAGATGGACACATAAGGTTCGAATGTAAGTGCCCGCTTCGCAACTGACCCAAAAGACAGCCATCTTGCGCTTCTCATCGTAATCAAGCAGTTTCGATTCATAAATAGTTCGAATACGAAGCTGTCGTTTCACGGCGGCCATTACAGGAGGACGCTGGAAAAGAGCCCCAGTCAAGGTTTCAAGTCCCTGAATCAAACAATCAAATTGAACACTTTGGCTAAAATGACACACTCTCTCACCCTCATCACTTTTGCGCGACTTTCAGGAGCATCATGGAATCGAACGATACAAACATATTCCTTTCCAGCGCTCTGTTGAGATTTCACCAGTCGAGTCGCTCGATTCAGACAAACGAGCAAGCAACCAGTCACTTTAGGGTCCAAAGTGCCGCTATGGCCTGTTTTGTCGCATCGAAGAATTTTCTTCACCCATGAAACCACCTGAACAAAGGATTTCAAGACGAGAGAGATAAAATGCGTTACCTCATGGGATGAGGGATTCGCTGGCTTATCCAAGTTAATGACGCCGTATTGGAGGTACTCATTCAAGGGCCTATTTAAGGGAGAACACCCATGGGGTAGAGGAGTGTAATGGCCCGTTCTGATGTTCATTTTGTCGTAATTCTGCGGTAGAAGAGAAGAAGATTAGATCAAATCACAACGCGTCAATGCATGCCCAATTAATTGAACCCTCTGACTAGACAAACATGCAAAATGCTATCCCTCTAAGCAAAATCGAAATTTCCCAAGCGAGGGAGAATCGGATCGTGCTGAAATGTGTTGACCTTCAATAAAAGAGGCCATCTTGATGTGTCGATCGGGGCTGTATTCTTCTCGGGACAGATCAATGGGCCGCTCAGCTTAATAGTTGCAGTGACACCGTCACGCTCGCTGACAGTCTTCGAATCCTTCCCCATCTTGATCTTCCGCATTGTTTGCGTTCGGGACAGCCAAAAGGTAATTTACTGCTGGACCTGAAACGGGGACCTGCCGAAGGAATATTTACAGCAATCTGTGAGATTTGCCGATGACATCGGATTCAGTGGAACAAGAGAGTCAATGAATCGAAAGACTTCTGTAATCAATTCCTTGTTTGACGATGGCGATTCAAGGCTCTATTAGCCATCGGTATTGTACTTATTGCTCCACGAATATTACTGAGTCTGGCGATGGGTTTTGCCACCCTCTTTGGGTGCCTCAAGAAGTCTTGTGCCGGCAATGCTGTAGCCATCTGCCAATGTGTGTCTTCTGTGAGAGACGCACCTCTTCGTCTGTAGGACAGAAGCGTGGTGAGAATTCAATGGCTCTGAAGATGTGTGAACCCTGTGCTTCCCTTCAACAAGCCTCGCCACTCCATCTTCCATCCCTTCTCGCTTCTGTCATCCAATTTTTATCCAAAATCACGCGCATTCCTTTTCAGTCGCTCATTCCCAATATCAACCTTCGTTTAGCAAATGTGGAAGAGATTTCGTCTATCGCCGCGAAGCGTACAATCGCTCGAACGTCCATTCGAAATTTTCAGTCCGAAGGATTCCCTGCCACCACATTTGGAGTCTGTATTTGTAATCCTGTTAGAAGTACGAGCAGCCAGCCGGCCATAGAAGTGCTCCTCCTTCGGGGCCTGTCTTTGTGGCTTTCTGGTGCTTTTCTAGCTCATGAGCTGATTCACGCATTTCTCCATTGCCTACGCCAAACACGACAAGAGTCTAGGAAATGTTCGGAAATGCTGCCGTGTGATCCGTTTCTGTTTGAGGAAGGCTTGTGCCACTTGGCTGCAGCGGCATGGCTCGCTGGAATATTAGAAAGCAACCGCTCGCTTCTTCCTCTTAGTGAATTTAATAGCAACGAACTTTCAGACATCCCGAATGCCCGCCCTCAAATGGAATTTTGGTTGAAGAAATTCTTGTATGGGCGCCACCCTGAATTTTCTGTTGGATTCAAAGCTGCAAAACAATCTGTCGAAGCCTTTGGATGGTTCAGCGCTTTGGAGCTGCTGAGCTGAATTTGCATTCTGTTTTGGTTATTTGTTTTGCGCTGTCTTTTTACTCAACATTTTCATATCTCCGCTTACAGAGTTTTTTGAGCTAGTAAGTTCCCACAAAGACATGAGAAAAACTTGAAAAACTGATCTAAGGTTAATGATGGCGATGGCCATTCTCTGTTCCAGCCGTAATTGCAGAGCCCAAAATTGCGGCACCTTTTCCACTTCCATCGTCCGCAATAGCGAAATGAATCAGAGATGCTGTGTCTTCCCCAAGAACAGAATTCAAATGCTTGCAAAGCATTTGTCGATAGAGTATGTTTTGTGTATAGAGTGAACCATCGACCCCAACTGTGAGGCCCCCCATTGCTGGTTGAAGCCTTCCCGTCTTCTTTGCAAGAGCCGCGATCATCACTGAAGCAAGAGCTGCCGATCTATCGAAGACGGCAACGAACAACGCCTTCACCCTCTCTACGTGTTCCTGGGGCGGAGTCCACTGCCACATTTCCTCCAAAATCTCCTTCACAACCGCCAAATCCTCGGAATCGTCCGCGATGATCGCACCACAACATTCTCCTGGCATTGTTTCGTGGGTCCATGCTTCTTTTGGTGCTTCACTTTGGAAGACTTTCAGAACGACGCGACGACAAAGTTCGGGCAAAAACATCCCTGAGAGCATTTTCTCGAGTCGTTGACGACCGCGGTTCGTCGATGCAAAGTCAACTTCGATGTCGATGATGTTCCACGGCAAATCACGATCGAACCCGCCGCATTCTGTGTTGATGATGTTCCCAGCATAGTTGTATTCACCCGCAGCTGGTTGGTAATAGCAAGCATTTAGTCCTGTCCCAAGAATCACTCCCATCATGCAAGGAGGGAGAGATCTCGGACGTTCGTACGCCGCAGAAAGCATTGTGCCAGTCTGAAAAGGAAACAAAGGGTTAAGAAGAAGTCATTGTATTTTGCAGCAACACTTACCGTATCATTCAGCGCAGCAACGACTCTCGCAGGAACGTTCTGACGCTCCAAAGCAACATCCAAGAGACAGCAGACATCGCGCCCTATAACGCCGTCCTTCGTCGCTGTTCCTGTTTCGAATCCTTTAGACCATCCAGTCAAAATTGCGCTATCGAGACGTTTTTGGTCGATGGCGAAAGAAAAAGTAAACCCAATAGGAACAGGATCCACCCTCTCCATGTCGCCATTCTCTTCCATAATTTTCTTAATTTGACGTGCAATCGAGTCGAATAACATTGAAGCAGTTGCATTCTTGTCAAGAAGGCCCTTTGGAAGATGGCGAGCCGCAGCATCGTCTCTGATGTTGCAGCGGCTTTGACTTGTTGTTGTGCGGCCATTTCCATCAAGTTCAACTCGAATGGCTCTCAGGTTTGTCCCACCGAAGTCAACTCCATAGAAGACCTGCAAAAATGGATGGTGGATTGAGTGTCGCAGTGTTTTATAACCCTACCCCCTTCTCTCGCCCAGTTGGAACCATTTTGACGCAAGTGTCCAAAAACATCATGGAGCATTTTTCAGGAAGCCACTTATTTGGAGACTCCTTGTGCATTTCAAGGCCGCGACGGATTTCATTTAAACATGAATGATACATTCGGGAAAGTTGTTCCTGCTGCATCGTGAAATAAAAATGGTAGCGCTGAAAAAAAATGGAAAAAAATCGAAAAAACAATTGGACGTAGGAATGTGTACAAACCTTGAAACGGTCCTCAAGGGACTCGTACTTGATATTTCTTTGTAAATGCGAAAATTTCGACATTGTAAGATAAATTGAATGAGAGGTTAAAAATATCGAAAAATCGGAGGAGCAAAAAAAAAAATCTGCACGGTACTTGTCACGCGTTCCATGTGGGACACCTGGTACGACCACCACCCGTCATGTCCCAATTAAACAGGAGTCCCGTTTGCTGTTCTTGCTTCTGAGATATTCGTATTCTTTTGGGGACTCAAAAGGTAGAGTACTAATTCATGAATGTTAGCAAAACCGATAGAGATTGCAAAAAACGAATAGATCAAGAAACTGAATCAAAGCGGTTTATAAATGAAGTGAACAAACAACAACATTTTGAGAATCAGGCTGCGTGGGGGTTTCCCATCCGGTCTTGCTTGCCAAAGAGATAAAACTTGCATTATCAACAGAAACTGCTGCATTGAGTTGATGTAAGTTTTCCTTCTTCGCGATCTGCAAACAATTCAATCCACATCCGCATTTTTTAACCATCGACTCACTTCAATCACTTGGTTCATGAAAGTACGACCAAGCCCAAGTTTTTGGAATGCATCTGCAACAATCATTCGCACTGCTGCCGTCTCTCTATGAAGATGATTGGGAGGTGGGCGTTCCAATTGAGCGAGACCGACAATTTCATGGGAGTCATTGACGGCAACGAGAGTCAAAAGACGGTCATAATCAGCGTGACACGTTTTTATCTGAAATCGAACGAGTCGTGAACAAACTTTCTTTTTGAACACACCATTTGCTCTTTCGAAGTCCTTCGGGACAGACTGCAGTCTCCAACATATCGAAGACGAACAGTTTCCGGTGAAAGTCCTTCATGGAAGCGGATCAGTCGATCTTCATCTGCAGCATGGATTGGTCGAACAGTCAATCGCGTCCCATTTTTCAGCGATGCTGTTGAAACGTAATTCAATGGATACGGGCGGACGGCAAGTGCGGGAGCTTCCGAGCGATTCAAAGCGATTCGCGCATCAAGTGCGACAAATTCGTCACGCATTGCGAGAAGCGGATTGATGTCGCATTCAGCGACGTGTTCGGCGAGATCGACTACCATGGCGGAAAATTTGGAAAGAACTGATTGAAGCTTTGAGAGGTTCACTCCTTCGAATCGCTTGCCTTGAGCGCCTTTTAATGCTTTGTAAATTTTTGTACGCTTCATTAAATTTTCAGCCAAATTGTCATTCAACGGAGGAATAGCGAGAGCGGTATCTTTGAATATTTCAACCATCGTCCCTCCCGCTCCAAACATGACAAGTGGTCCAAACTGAGCGTCAGCAGTCGAACCAAGAATGAGTTCAAGTCCCTTATCCAAACGCATCATCGGTTGAACAGTAACACCCTGGAAATGTTGCGCTCCATGGAGAGATGCAACAGAAGCTCGAATCTCCTCAAAGGCTTGTTTGACTTGATCAGGCTTCAAGTTCAACTTCACTCCACCAACATCCGCTTTATGCGTCAGAGTTTCCGAGTCTGGAAAGAACAATAGAAGAATGAGCAATTCATCCCGCATTAAATACAATTAACCCTACTGAGTTTGACGGCGTAGAGTTGTGCTCCCAACTCCTTCGCAGCAGCGTCCGCATCGTCTGGTGTCTTCGCAATGATCGTCTTGACGATTGGGATTCCGTAGGAGTCCAGAACTTGTTTCGACTCCGCTTCAGTTAGAAGCGATCTTCCTTCGCTCGAAGCCTTCTTCAAAATAGAAATGCATTTGGCGCGATTTTCAGGTGTAATAAGTGCTATATCCTCTGTCGCTCGATTTTCAGGTTCGCCATAAAGAGCGTCAAGAGCTTCAGTTTGTTTCCAAATCTTTCCAAATGTTGCCGCCGCATCATCCGGATTTGCGAATGTAGGAATCCCGCCTTCATTCAATAAGCGGAATCCTTCAGCAACCGTTTCTCCTCCCATCCACGCTGCCAGAATTGGTTTGGGATGAGGATTCTTAAGCTTAATTGCTTCAACTGCCTTGATCAGCTCTCGTGCAGTTCCAGTAGGGTCAGTAACATCTTGGGGAGATAAAATCACAAGAACGCCATCAGCGTTGTTGTCTTCAAGACAAACTTCCAGAGATTTTGCGTAAAGTTCAGCTGGAGCGTCGCCCAAAATATCCACAGGGTTATGATGGCTCCACGCAGCTGGAAGGAATGCGTTCAATCGCTCTCGTGTTCGCGCCTCGATATCTGGAATCTGAGCCCCAGCCCCCACAGCTGCATCTGTGGCAAGAACGCCAGGACCTCCAGCATTAGTGACAAGCATGAGTCTTGGTCCTCTTGGTCGCGGTTGCTTCCCAAGAACAAGTGCGCAGTTGAAAAGTTCTTGAATAGTATCGACCGTTAGAACGCCAACGCGGTGCATCGCAGCTTCAAAGGATGCGTAGCTTCCGGCCAACGAGCCAGTGTGGGATGCAGCAGCCTGAGCAGCTTGTTCAGATTTTCCGGCCTTGATGACAACAATTGGTTTCGTCAACGACGCCTCACGTGCAGCAGAGAGGAATGAAGCTGCGTTACCTATAGTCTCCATGTAAATAAGAATTGATTGAGTATTGGGATCATCAGAAAGGTAATCAATCAAATCACCCCAATTGACGTCTGCCATCGATCCCACGCTGATGAAAGCGCTAAATCCAATCTTCTCTCGTAAACTCCAATCGAGGACTGCAGTGCACATCGCACCTGACTGACTGATAAATGCGACGTTTCCTGGAAGACCCATCGTCGCGGCGAATGTCGCGTTGAGACCGATGTTCGGATTCATAACACCCACGCAGTTCGGACCAATCACTCGAATTCCCGCATCACGAGCGACACGAATCAGTTCGTTCTCTAAAGCGATTCCTTCTGGACCTACTTCCTTAAATCCTGAAAAGAGATGAGAAAAAGAGATGAGAAAAAGAGATGAGAAAAAGAGATGAGAAAAAGAGATGAGAAAAAGAGATGGAAGGAAAAGAGATGGAAGGAAAAGGCTATCAGGAATCAGCAGAAAGGAAGCAGCTAGTTGCCTAATCAAAGCAAACTGACCAGCAGAGATGACGACTGCAGCCTTGACTCCCTTAGCAGCAGCTTGGCGCATGACATCAACACACGTCTGTGCAGGAGTGACGATGACCACCATATCGACATCACCAGGAATATTCTCCAGGTTAGAGAAGCATGGAAGACCAAGAACAGTTTGGCGCGTCGGATTGACGGGGTAGATTTCGTAACGATTTCCCCCAGCTTTATTGCCGATAATCAGATTGTTGACGAGCGTACGTCCAACTGATCCAGCGCGTTCCGTAGCACCAATGATAGCGATGGAACGCGGTTCGAAGATTGCACCCAAGCCTGAAGTGACGAGGCGACTAGGGAAATAAGCTTGTAGAGGGTCAATCTCTGAGGTCGCTCCAGCAGCCTCGGGCTTTAAGCATTTGGAGAGTTGGGCAGATGTTGTGGTGCTGAATCCGCGGCCATTTGAAATGACTGGAGAAAGAGTGGTTCTGATCAACCATGGAGTTTGAGTGTTTGCAAGAAGAGAGGGCAAAGCACAACGTTGTTTCTGTAGACGTCGCGCTGAGCGAGAGAGTAAACGGGTTCCCGCCATTATTAGAAACTGGAGTGAAGGTGTCAAAATCGCACAAATGCTGAAGTCCCAGTTCAACTGCATGAGGAACTACGGCTAGGTAGACAACGTGTTCTTATCCTTTTGTACAGTCTGTGGATTTTTTCTTGATGAACGCTGTTTTCAATATGCGTAGAGTTTAATGCAGTTGGCAGAGGAGCTTACACAAGATTTTCAATGGCAGCCAGTGAATTCGTCTCAATGGAACTCTCTTATAACACCATCCACAAACCACTGGCATTCGGGACACGTTCCTAGCACACCTTCCACCCGCCCATCTGCACGTCCGCTTAGAAGTGCTCATTGGTTCTCGTAGAACTTGACTGCAGATCACGTTGCCGCAATATCTGCTGGTGTAATAAAACCCTTCTCCAGGCATCTCTAACACAATTTTGCTAGAGGCTGTATGGCAACATAAACAGTTACGAGATCAAATGCTCTGCATCAATCAGACCAATTAGGCCGGAATTGTCAAAGTATGTTTTAATGAAAGTTCTAAAACTTGTGACAGATGTGCAAATTCATAACAAGCGTATTCTGTTCTAAGTCCATTATATGCTCCCCTGCCTGTGGCAACGCACCGCTATTCCAGCGAAATTCAAAAATGAGGGCCAAGCAATTTGCATCACAAGACATGTGTTGTCCGAAAAGAAAATGTCCCAACAAAAATGTAAAAAATATGGACATTCATGGAGCACATTTATTTGGCTTTCGGCATCTCTAAGGGATATTTGTTCGGTTGCATGAAATACTTGATCGTCGCGTCGACGACTTTTTGAAGTTCTACTCGCGCTTCATCTGGATTCGATCCGCTCATTTCTGAATACCATTTGAGTTTGGGTTCCGTCCCTGACGTACGCAACGTTAAAACGGCTCCGTTCTCGAAGAAAATTGTAATCATTTGGGACGACGGCGTCAGAGGGAAGGAGCAAATGTTTCCAGGTTGTCCATTGTCGAATCCTGTGGTCACGTCGCGAATACGCTTGATTTTGTAGTCACCCAATTCTGTCTTGTACTTGCCATTAGCACGAAATTCCGCGAAGAGGTTTGCAATTGCGTCTTTATCGTAGCAAAGATAGTAAGAATTGTTGCTTGCGAAATAACCGTATTTTTTTCGCAACTGATCTAATCTCTCACCGACCGTCATTCCATTCGCGTAGAGTCGCGTCACCATCTGGACCCAAACCGCTGCCGCTGAAACCCCATCTTTATCGGGAATTTGCATATCCAGCGCATATCCAAGAGCCTCCTCATAAACAAGGCACGGGACGACCGGTGATTTCGCGGCAAGCTCAAACACTTTGTTCATCATCCATTTGAAACCGGTCATTGTTTCCTCGAAACGACAACCTTCAGTTTCCGCCATTTTTTGCAACATTCGACTTGAAACAGCTGAACAGATGAAAAGCATTGATTCTTTTGGGACACCTTTTGCAAGATTGGCTTCGAGAGCTTCAGCGCCAAACAGAATTCCCAATTCATCCCCATGAAAAATCTTCCATCGACCATCGCGCTGTTTTTCGACGCATGCAAACCGATCAGCATCTGGATCATTCGCAATGACGATTGGAGATCCGATTCGGTCTGCTAGTGCCATTGCAAGATCCATCGCCCCTTTCTCTTCTGGATTCGGAAACGCAACTGTCGAAAATTCTGGATCTGGGAATTTTTGCTCTTCAACAAAAAAAAGATTTTTTTCAAATCCAAATCGTTTCAAAATTTCCTCGACGAATGGAGATCCAACGCCATGCATCGCGGTATAGACGACCTTCAAATCACTTGCAGCGGTTTCTTCCTTCCTTGTGCACAAATGAACAGTCACATCATCCATGTACTCCTTGAATGTGGACTCATAGGGGTCGATCACGGAACTCGAATCGCGCAACATTCCGGTCGCAGGATCCAGAAGGGCGAGTGCCTCTGCCCAAGGCTTTAGATTCGCGTTAATCAATGAAGAAACATCCCCGTCCATCGGAGGAATAATCTGCGCACCATTATCGCCATACACTTTATATCCATTGTCATTCTTTGGATTGTGTGATGCTGTTACTTGAACTCCTCCCAGACAACCACGCTTCACAACTGTGTACGGATTCATCGGTGTTGCCGTGACTTTGCTGTTAAGATACACTTTGAACCCCTTCGACAGAAAACACGCTGCTGCTGCGTTCGCATATCGCTGTGATCTGTATCGGCCATCAAATCCCAGACAGACTCCGCGACGCGCGCAAGATTCTGTTCCGTATCGATTGACCATGTACGAAGCGAGACCCTGCGTTGCTTGCATGACCGTGAGGTCGTTCATACAGTTGAACCCTGCCCCCATTGGACCACGAAGACCGGCAGTCCCAAATTCGAGACGCTTCAAAAACCGTCCTTCTAGCTCCGCTTTGTTCTTTTCGGCATTCTTCAGGAGAGCGAGACATTCATTGCGAGTTTCTGGGCAAGGATCCCATTCAAGATATTTTGCGATCTTCTCCTCGCATTCTTGGGACAGACTGGTGCAATTATCAAGCTCGAGAAACTTCGTCATAGCTATAAATGGGAACTGAAAAAGTCGATATAAAAAATAGTGGTAGAGTAAAGTGAATGGGACGAGTTTCACTGAACCTAAATGATCTGTTGTCCGACAGAAAATTGCACAATTGAAATTCCGACGCACACCATCAAAAACATATTCACTGAAAAAAGCGTTCGACAGTTCAGCGCTCCGACGATCGCTGAGCGGAGACATTCCCAAGAGTGTGAAGCCATTGAAGAGGCGCATTCATGAAGGGAAGATGAGGCGAAGGAGGTCGAACTGTTGGTGATTCAACCGCAAGAGAATCTTCAAGCGAATCGTCAACCCACAAGGGAAGCACCACACAGATGTTATCGCCTGGGGATCGCGACGAGTTTTGGCCCAGTAATGCAGCGCATCATCCACCAATGCGTTGGCTGCTTCCTGTAAGAATAAATGACGAATTTCCTGCGTAATCCATCAACATACCTCAAGAGATTTGTCTTGCAAGAAAAGACTATCAGCAACGAAATCTACAACCTCCTGAGGTTCACCGTATGTCTCCCATATTGGCGTTGATGCTAAAACAACAAATCCCTTCTGGTATGGTGGAAATGCAACATTTGTTAAATCCGGCATCGAAGAAAACTGAAAAGAGAAAAATTCCAAATATTGTTTCATCATTCAACTCACGCCATATTCTGAAATGGATGAAAATCCAAACCCGCGCGTAGTTGGGAGAACTAAATCAGAATTTCATGATACCCTTATTAAATCACATACTCACACATTTGATTCGGATATTTAAGAACAAGTCTTTCGTAGATACAAGTTGGATCATCACCTTCGAAAAGTGAGTCAAATGGATCTTCTTCTTCTTCTACTGAATCCTCATCAACTGCAAACAAATGCCCGTCTTCCTCATCGCTCGTTCTACTTGCTCCATCCTTTCCTGAAAAGACATTTCAGAGAAGCGAAGGATGACTTGGAACCACCTTCTTCTTTTCTGTTTTCTTCTTTTCTGTTTTCCTCTTTTATGTTTTCTTCTTCTGTATCTTCTTCTTTTCCATTTTCCTCTTTTCGGTTGTTCCCCTCAACCAGTTTTTCCTTTTCACGACGCCGAATTTCACGGAATTTCCTTTTCTGAAGAAAACAAACTAAAATCAGCAAATAAACATCTAATGCTTACCGTTGATTTGATAAAGCGATGTCTTCGACTGCTCAACTCCACCACATTTCCAGCAAGAAAGATATAAACGCGAGCACCTGGACAATGAACGATTTTCCAATAAAATCGGGGAAATGTACCTGCAAGTTCAACGCGCTCTCTTTCTGTGGAGTCATTTGGCGTGTGATCGGTCGTTATCGGAATTGCTTTGAATTCCGAACGGTATCGCCCAGGGGGATTGCTTGATCTGCGAAAACCCCAACGTGAACCTAAAAAGATTCGAGAATGGTGAATTCGATTGAGAATCAATACCTTGACGCTTTTTGGTTGGAAGCTCTTTTGCTACGACGCCCTTCAAACAGCCAAGATGCGAAACACCCAACAACCCTGTGCTCTTCTGCGTCATTATTAGCGTTACAGATGCTCCACTGAAAACAGATTCGAGGGGAAATTTTCGTTCTAGATCATGATTTGCTAAGAAGAGGGAAGCAAAAGTTGGAAACATGTGAACGAAACTCACTAAGCGTGAGGGTGTTAAGAAGAAGGCTTTCGAGCGAATCTGGCGTAAACGGAAGAAGCTGAGACCCGTGTTTGGGATCCACAATAGTTGCTTTTTTCTGAAGTTCTTCTCGGTGAAGCTGTTCAAGTCGCAAGTCAGGGTGACGAGACTCTATACGATGATCAAGACGTGGAGATCTATAAACGCTCGAGGGATCGAAAGAGTCAGGAAAAGAAAGTCGATGGTTTCTTGAAGAGTCTGGCGACGAGACGGAATTGTTCCGTACAACAGGTGCGTCTATTGGTGAAGTTTGGGACTCAGTGCGAATGCCAGACGTGAGACGATCAGGAAAGGACAGAACTGATTCATTGGATTGAATAGACGACGAATCAAAAGACTGACGAGGAGGTGAAGATCCCTGGGGCGAAAGGTGTCTCGGAGATTGTTGGAGAAAGCGAATCGGAGCTGAATGAGATTCAGGAAACGAGAAACGAGGCGGTCCTTCAGTCTTGGCGGGAAGATCGGAATGATGCGAGCTGGATGGGGATCCTGATTCACAAGAAGATTTCGTCATTTCAAAACAGGAGGAAGGCGTGTGGTTCGTGGACGCGAAATCAGTTCCGTTCCAGGATCGTTGGATTCTCCGCTGGCGATCCGAGCTAGCGGCTGCATCAGAGACGTCGTCATCCGATTAATCCACGCCCGCGGTCCTTCCTCGTTCCGGGAGAGGGGCGACACGATCGATGTGAGCGCTCGGAACAACGGAACGTCCAAGTCCGGCGGCTGTGGAACAATTTCTGGGACTTTGTGAAGTGGGTACAGTTTATTGAGGAGCCTCTTGAGAATGGTTATGACAACAAAAGTGGTCATTGTAGTACGGTGCGGTCCTCGTCCCATCACAACAACCGCAATTCGAACATCTCCGACTCTAAGAGGAAATACAGATTTGGTAGCAGATCAAGCATTTTTGTTACCTCAGCACTGCTGCTTTTGTGACTCCTGCTCCGTGTTTTGCAGAGTCTCTTGTTCCATCTGAGCAGAAGATATGAAAACATTAAATCTTGGGACTCACTGTTATACGTGATAGAAACACCAGCGTCCCTTGCAAGAAACTTGAGGGGAATATTTCGAGGATAAACTTCGGAAGCATCAAGACTTTTTCGCTTGACTGAAGTGAAAGTGGAAACCAGAGGTTTTTCATCTTCAACCGGTTTGGGGGAAACAGAATCGAATGTATGAGTGTTGATCTCTGGGAAGAAGATCTCCAAGTATCTCTGCCTGGAAATGACCGAAACACTTTAGCCGACAAATCAAAGCGACCTACTGCAGAAGGACACCTCTCCTTTCGCGAACCGCAACAATCAGCAAGGGACTCAAACAGCCGCTGACTTGCTTCATTTGCAGTGGAGGAAAGAGCTAATTTCCAATAATTTAAATCCTTCATCGATTCTTCTTGCACGTAATCAGATACAGCGGTAGATTTCGTCTCCACAAAATGTTTCAAAAAACCTGATATCTGGTTAACACGGGGTTGAAGCGACGATAGGAAAGAGTCTCCATCATCATCGCTTGAAATTTCATCGGAATCATTTGAATCATCATTTTCACTAGAATTCGATCTCTTTTGGAATTCAAATCTAACATGGAAATTCTCATGCGGCTCTCCGGGTAAATGATGAGATTTTGTCCCATGAGTTTCCCTGTCGTTGCTGACGGGCTTGCGGTCAGAAATCTGTTCCCCACTTTGGGACTTGCTGACGGGAATTGGGAAATCTCGGTCTTCCTCTACCTCATCGTCGCAACCAGGTTCTTTGTCTTCTCTGGCGTTTTGGTCTCCCGAATTCGGTATTGAAGGGTCCATTGCAGCAGAGCATCGGATTCTTTATGGCCATTCAACGAGAATATGTCTCATTTAGAGTTTATTTCCTGCTGCCCTCATGCAATTTCTGCAGGCGTGGTGAATAAATAAAGAATTTTTTATTTCAAGTTCTTTAAAGGAACAACGCCACACGATGTCCATATGAGCCGTAAAGTCATAGGGTAGCTAGATGGCGTGATCGTCCACTAGAGTCATGGCACAGATTTTCCATCGCTGTGTCCGCGTGTTGTGTAGTCGCTTCCCACGTCTGGGAGCTTTCCTTTTTCCTTGTCCCACGGCTGTACAAACTTGGTGCCTGCTAAAAGGTTGGCCCTCAACTTCAGTCATAGTTCCCCCAACCCACTCTCGCACCCCCATCCGCCGGTTCGGCAACAGCTCTTTGACAGATCACGAACCAACTTCTCACGTGAATTGGATGCGACAGCATGCAGGCCCGTTGAAAAGGTCGGTCCTAATGGGACTATCTGTTGCCACGATGGGGCGAAGGGACCACGATGCAAATGATCCAGCTGAACGGCAAGTTGTTTTAGCGAAACTCTTTGAAGCATGTTTGTTTCAGATTTCTTCCAAGGGGAAAGAAGAAAACGGTTTCATTTCGAACACGGGATGGAACTCAAGCCACGAAAGATAAAATCGTTACAAAAATGCGTGCCTGTCTTGTTTGTAAGGTTATTGCAACGGAGGAGCAGGTGAGAAAATTGGGAATAGATTTGTCTACTCCGAGTTTTCCAGTTTGTAGGACTGGGATGTCCCAATTGTTCTTTCCTTGAATTACGAGGCAATAAACCGAAGGTGTGGGAGTGTACTTCAAGCCAGTTCTCTGGGTAGGAAACTTTTTCGTTCTTTGGTCACGCATTACCTTTTCAGCTTGATCGCTTTGATGAAACCAGATCAAAGTTGGGTCGGGCGTTACGTCAATTTAGAAAAAGCTGTTCCAGCGTGCTACGCCGTTCATGTTACTGGAGATCTTCCTGAAAGAGTTCGGGATGACATCACGTATCAATATGCTGGCAGCAGCACAATAGACGAAGAATGAACAATTGTGTCCCGATAGAAATATCTCTTTAATAGTCTTCTGACTGATTGAAGCCATTTGTCGCCATCGACGGGATACTCTATTTTGCGATAAGTGAATAAAACTCTTGAAGAAAACATAGAAAAATTGTACTTTAAGTATTTTGACGAAACCAAAAAAGAACCATTGTGCCAAAAGGAAACAAATCACTGAACGTTATTTGTCATTTATTAATTGAGGAACAGAATCTATAATGAGATCAGAGGCAACGCATGCCAACGGCATCTTGATGCAAAACAACTGACTGCGCAAATGAAAACTATTTGCCTTTCAGTTTTTTTCTTCTACTGTAGTATTGCGGTTTCTCAGAATCGTCCAATAGTCTTTCGGCTAAAGGAAGAGGTGCCGCAAAGCCCAGATGTCCAAGCTGAGACAAAGTCAATCGCCAGCTTGCTCGGTTCTGCAAAATCGCGACCGCTTCTGGGAAATTCTGTAACCCTGGGGGTAAAATCTACAGGGGCTGACGACGTTACAATAGATGAAGGGCTAAAACGCCACCGTCTGGATCGTTACCACCTGATCAACCCCGAAGATTTTGGGGATCGTTCTCCTGAAGATCTCATTAAGGAGCTCGCTGGACACCCGCTGGTGGAATTCGTGGAACAAGAGCCCATTCCGGTTTCTGCAAGTTACGTTCAAAGCACGACTGCGCCGCGACCACGGAGGTTTAGGAATGCGACTCGAGCGGGTGCGAGAGCTCCAGCCGATGAAATGGCGGAGTTTCTTGATTGCAGTCGAGACTACGACTGCCAAAGGTACATGCTGGATCCAGAACCGTCAGGGCGTTACTATAGGCTTGGCGGAGTCAATGCAATTGAGGCACACAAATTGACTGGAAACAGAGGAGACAATGTG